TGCATACAAAGCAACATATATATGGAGCTGCAACTCTAGGAGGAGGAAACGAGCAAAAAAATTGAGGTGGGGGAGGGAGGAGTAAACTAATAAGTTAGAAATGGAGAGCTTGAACAGCAGAATGCCTTCTCCTGCACCCAATCTAACACTCCCAGCAGTAGAAAAGTAGAGAGAGTTCTTGCTTAACAATCGTTTCACAATGATTCGAAGTTATGACAGCCTCGGAAAGGGTGCTTGACAGTCCGTAAAGCACTTCCCACTGTCATAAAACGTCACACCACCCCCGTGGTCACATGGTCACATTTCAGGCACTTGGCAACCGTCTCGCATTCACAACTGAATTTTGGTGGTCTGCAGGAATGGAGTTCAAATCCTGAAGATTTGAGCTCCGTTCCTCCAGCCCCATGAAGGATTTGCATGGAGGGGAGGGGAAACCCTTCAGTCGGCCGTAGGAATGTTTGAGAGTGAAAGGGCTGCCTGCCAGGAGGATTTCAGCTTTGTGGAGCCAAAATCCTTCAGCAGGCAGCTGTTTCGCTCTGTCCACTTAACGACTCAGGAGATCATTTAATGACTGCAACCGGAAGTGCCCAGATTGCGGTCATTGAGGAAAGCAGTCACGTGGGCATCTAGCTTAACAACTGCTTCACTCAATGATCAAGATTCTGGTCCCAACTGTGGTTGTGAGGACTACTTGTACAATTTTCCAGAATACAGGTAGGGTGAAGATTCTGATCAATTCCTGATCAATTTCAAAATAACCCCGTGTCTATAACCTGTGGGCAGGGTGGGGATAGGGAACAGTACATGTGGTTTTTAAAACAACATTTAACTGGTTTCCTGTTGTCAATAGCCTACAAAGTGTCTTGGGGCTGTAGTGTGCCTCTTCCCAGGCCTGGGGTAGTGTGTCCGTGAAGTCCGTGTCATCTTTTGTATCATTATTTTTATTGGTATGATTGTTTTTAGTAGGGGTTGCCATGTTTGTTTCATGTGTCTCTAAACTGTTTTTAATTGCTTATTTGGTATGGTAAGCCATTCAGAGTCTTCTGGAGTGGGCGGCCATAATAAATTTGATTAAATAAATATGGTCAACTATTATTTAACACCATGGTGAAGGCCTAGAACTGTCATTGTGTGCGTGTGCACCTTCTAATCAGTGTTGACTCCTAGTGACTGCCTGGACAAGTCCTTGGAGTTTTCTTGGCAAGATTTCAGAAGTGGTTTGCCATTGCCTCCTTCCTAGAGCTGAGAGAAATTGACTGGCCCAAGGTCCCCCAGCTGGCTTCATGCCTAACGTGGAAGTAGAACTCATGGTCTCCCAGTTTCTAGCCTGATGACTTAACCACTACACCAAAGTGGCTTTCAGAATGTCCTAAGAAAGTCCTAAAAGGAACTTCAGGACTTTATGGGGGAAGGCAGAAGATTTCTTCATTCACAAGTGAAAAGGGCATATACTATCTGGCACAAATGTTTGGGAGCCAATATGATCAAAGAAATAATTGATCCAAATACTTGACCTGCTGTACAATCAGCTTTGTAAAGGGACCAAAGAGCCTAGAGCAGAGTAAGCAAGATGGCCCAGAAGCTGGCAGAAACATGGAGACCTCAAAGCATTCCTGGGATGGAAGAAATTCCGCCAGAGTCAACCCAGGGGCTATACTAGATCTAACTGCAGCTAGAGCGCATCAGTACCATTCAACTAGCCACCAGAGGGCGAACATCAATAATCTGCTGAGCAGTGGAGCCATGAGAGAGATTTTTAAAAGTGAATGAAATTAAATATATTTTTCCAGATTGGCAAGAACGACAGAAATACCCTTTGAAAAACGTGAATGTTTTCTGTAGGTTTAGCTTTTACTGAGAAAAGTATATTACTATTACCTAGAGACCTGAAGCACACTAAGTCAATTGTCTAAGCATGACTAATTTTGCTTTAAATTAGGCTCTCTGCACACCTATTTCTCCCAGATACTTTAACTTACTTTTTCTTCTTTTTTCTGTAATCCGATGTGGATGTTTCATTAAAAGAAATGAATAGACTTATGTTGAAAGGATGATTAATAAAGAACTGTTTTTTTAAAATAGTATTTTATTAAGATTTTAAGATTACAAAGTTAAAAGTTAGAAATGAAAAAGAAAATTGAAAATACAAATTATAAAGAAAAGGAAAAGAAAAAGTGAAATAAAGTAAAAGAAAAAAGACATGAAAAATAGATAGCTTCCAATCTATCTCTGGTCTTAAGAATGATAAGAGACTTCCACGTTAGGCATGAAGCCAGCTGGGGGACCTTGGGCCAAAAAGGAAAAGAAAAAGTGAAATAAAGTAAAAGAAAAAAGACATGAAAAATAGATAGCTTCCAATCTATCTCTGGTCTTAAGAATGATAAGAGTGTCATAA